CGCAGCGAATTTTTATTGTTCAACAACGCACAGAATAAATAACCCAGTGGCACTACCTTAGAGATAAAGATCCAGTGCCTATATGCACGAAGTGGCTAGCGAATGGTTCTACAGCACGAGCAGTTGGTTTTTTCCACCAAGAAACTTGCAAGCAGACGCTGCCTGCGTTGCGAGGGGAGAGAGGGGGAAGTAAGAGAGGAGAAAGGGTGAGGGGCACGCATGCGCAACGGCAATGGTGGTGTAAATGCCACGCGGACAGATGCCCACAGGAAAGGGAGGGGAGAGCGAGTGTAGGCTATCTATCAGACGCTGACTGCGTCGGCGTTTGTAGCGAGAGAGGGGGATTGTTGAAGCGGAGAAAGTGAGGGAGGGGACACGCATGCGCATGGAGTGCAGACGCCAACTGATCAATCTCATTCCCGTCCACCACCCCCTCAATAGGACGCTTCGCATCTTATGGAGAAAATCCGGTTGCGTGTTCTACTATTTCTATCAACATTCATGTTTTCATTTAAGTACTATATTGCATAAATTACACATGTCGTGTTGAATAATCTTCGCGGTGTCACGTAGTAATGTGACCTACGCAGAACCATTCCTTGTTGTAAGTAACCTCTACCATGTCAGGGCGCGCACCAGTGAGATGAAGGGCAAGCGGTGTTCAGCATAGTATTTCCCCTCTTTTCGGGGCATGCAGTGCTGTAAATGTTGGCAGACGAGATCGTGAGCACTCACTGCATATGTTTTTCTTTTGCCTGCTCAAATTGCTCAAACCTGGTAACGGGCCCGTTAAGGTGTTCAAAGCCACAGGATAAATTGACCCAGCTCAATTATACCTGGTAAATACGAGGCTAAAAGACCATTCTATGATATTTCAGCAGTCCGGGTGTTCGCTTCTGTGCTGCTCTTTTCAGCCATGCCCCCAAATTACAGCATGATGACGGCGTGAATGATGATGAGTGGGCGAAGCTCCGGAGGTTCCATCGGTACCCGTGAATCTTCCGAGGATTTCGCCCAGTCTATCATCATGTAAGGATGACGAGCATGTTCTACAGCTGTTTTCTAAGTCCTCCCCTCCAGCACCTTGTCTTCGTCGTTCATACACTAAGCACAGAAACTGCCGGCAAAAAAGGAAGCTCGCCAAGAGCAAACGCAGTTTAACTCAAGAGCGAACACACTCTCCTACGACACGAGAGCGATCAGTGAGAACCGCAGTGCCATCTCGTCTTGAATTGATCACCTATGCCACGCGAGCGCCATGTAGTGATCTCTCATTCCACTATGCGCTTTCATGCATGGTGCCGCATCGCCATCTAGCAAACACTCCGAGAAGTATACGTGGCTACTAGAACGCCGGATTTGCCCACGCCTCAAGGAGCTTCATTCTTAATTAAAAAGAGGGAGGAGCGTGTTTATTCGACGGTGGACACGTAAGTCACCATGTTGGACACAAAAGAAGTAACCATGTTATGCAAACTGCGCGGGGAAAAGGATAATCGCATGGCTATGCTAAACCATTCGCGCCTCTGTGCCATGATAAACTTAACATCTCTTTTCGCTTTCTTGTCATAGACAGAAGTCACGTACAACTTTCTTCAAAATTTTGAATTTTTATAAAAGTAAACTGCGTCTATGTTTACAATTTTGCGGGCCGAGAACTCTGTTTTTTGGAGAAAAATTTTGAAAAAAAAAGGAATAAAGGAACGAAAGGAAATGATAGAAAAACAGGCTAAAATAGACAGAGGGAGGAAGAGGATAAAAGACAGCAGAGAAATGTCAAAAAGGTAGAATAAAATATGTATTTTATAGCCTTGTATAGTGCAGTCACTAATCTGTGCGCATTTTTATCCAGTGGCCGTGGTACAGTATTACAAGTATGAGGGTGAGCAACAATCGTCTATTGAGTAAAGATATCCAGTGCCCACACCACTTGGTCATAATTGCATACCCGAAGAAGAATCATATCATGGGCTACGGTACAAGCATGCCAAGGCGCATGCTTTGTTCGTCGTATGCAACTGCCTACACTCTAAATAAGCTTTTTTTATGCGAAGCACTTCTTAGCGCACTTTGGCCACTTTCAGCGTATCTATCTATCTATCTATCTATCTATCTATCTATCTATCTATCTATCTATCTATCTATCTATCTATCTATCTATCTATCTATCTATCTATCTATCTATCTATCTATCTATCAAACTAGCCACCAACGACTTCATGCTTTTCTGACTGTATTGTTATTAGCACTTACACCAAAATTGGTATGGCGTAGTATGGCATCATGACGAACATAAATGACCTGTCATATAAAAATTATGATTACTTGTCATGAACCATATGCTCTTTCTACGATGGCCATAGTGCTCTAGTGGCCATTTCGTCAATATATCTACCGAAAATTGCATGACGAGACATTTCTGCATGATTAACCTAAAGGACACGTGACATTAAGGAAATCATGAATTGCATGTCATGCATAGCATGACTTCTGTACCATGCTCATGGTGCATTAATGGCTGTTCAGCTAAATTAAAATCTACGAAATTAGGTATTGCGTGACGTGCTTGTATGACAAACTTCAATGACAAATAGTGATATGAAAATCATGACATTATAGTCATGAAAACATGATTTGCATGCCTTTTCTATGGTGCGCTAGATGCCAGTTTGTTGGCGTGATATACACCAAATCTTCTACTGCGTGACGTCACTGTAATACGATCATAAATGACAAGTGCTAAAATAAAAATCACAATATTCTTGTATTGTCAACATGATTTACATACAATGCTCATAGTGCGCTTCTGGCTAGCTCACTAGCATGATATACAATAAAGTAAGTATTACGTGACGTACCTCCATGATGATCTTAAATTAGAAGTGGTGATTTGAAAATCATATTGCATGCAAGCATGACTTGAATACCACGCTCAAGGTGCGCCGTGATATACACTAAGTTTGCTATTTTTTGACGGGTCTGTATAGCGGAAAGAAATGACAAGTGGTAATATGAAAATTATGACATGTGATGTCAGCATTACTTGCATACTACGCTTATGGTGCGCTTGCGGCCAACTACCTTACATAATGTACGCTAAATTTGGTGCTGCGAGACGTACTTGTGTGACGTACTTAAATGACAAATGGTGATATAAAAATGATGACATTCCCATAACGTAAAGCATGGCTTGCTTGCCGTGATGATGGGGCGCTCGTGGCCAATTCGTTAGCTTGATATACACCGAATTTTTTAGTACATGAAGTGACTGTATGTCGAGCATAAATGACAAATAGTGAAATGAAAATCATGGCATCTATGTGTCATAGTATCTATGTAATTATGGTATCCCATGCTCTTGTGACGCTTGTGCCTCCTATTTCACTAGTGTGAAATACATTAAGTTTGGTAATGCGTGAGAGGTCTGCATGAAAAATATAAATGACATTTGATGAATTGAAAATCATGCTGTTTATGTCACGTGCAACGTAATTTACGCGCCATGCTCATACTGCTTTGATGGCTCTTTCGCTAGCTTTGTTTTTACTCAATTTGCTGTTGCGGGATGTGACTCTATTACTAACATAAATGACAAATGGCAATATGCACATCATGACGTCCTGTCAGCATGACTTGCACCCGAGGATCAAGGTGTGCTTGCAGCGAATTTGCTAATGTGACTTACACTAAATGTGGTATTGCATGACGGGCCTGTATGAAGGACCTAAATGACGAGTCCTGAAGTGTAAACCATGACATCCATGCCATGTACTCCATAACATCATTTACATGCCAGGCTCATGACACGCTGCCAGCTGTTTCGCTATCTTGATATAAATCAAATAGGAATTGCGTGACGTCATTGTATGTAAACATGAATGACAGGTCCTAGCCTGCAGATAATGGCATGCAGGTTACGTGTGCAGCATATCTTAAGTCTTGCTGGTTGCTTCACATTACCGAATGCCTTAGAGCTTGGGTTTTACCGGTTCTTTTTTTTTATTTTACGCGAAATTGATCATGCTAAATCTTTCTTATGCGACTATAGACATTTCAACAATAATATGCATTATTACGTTCTAAAATGCCCTCATCATGATACACGAAGACGTCGGCTTAAATGATCTATTCTTATGATGACACCAGATAGTGCAGCAAGCAGTTTTGGTAAGCTTTTGCGTCATTAAAAAAGGGAAATGATTAGAATAGTTTAAGCGCTCCCCGCTTGGTAGCGTCTAAAATAATCCCAATATTCATGCAAAGTCTTCACGCTGTAGAGTTATTCGTTATCCAGTCACGATGCTGAATATACCATTTGCGAATACGGTCAGCTAATGAAGGCACTTATACCCAAAAAACTCTGTAAATTCGGCCATAGATGGTGATTTTCAAGTGTAATATACCAAATAATTCCATCATTTCAGCATGCTCATATCTGGCCAGTTCTGTTCTATACATGCCTTCAAAGTTGCAAAGTAATGTGAGTCACTGCGCAGCGTTTAGCTTCCTTGTAACATCGCGTAGGTGTTAATCTGCAGAAAAAGTACACAAACTTCTCGTTGGTGTGCAAGCTCTCTCAGGCGCCGCGCTCCGACTATCCTCAGAGGCCTTAAGGAAGAGACCGCACGAAAAAAGCTGCCTCGGCTGTAGAGTAAGCTACGGTGTCGTGTTCTTGCGTTCGCCGAATCTCTCGCATTAGTTTTAGTTGCGTACGCTCCTTGCCGTTTCACCACTCCGTGCGCGTTGATCAATGAAGGCTTTATACACGCTAATGCACGTGCTTGAACTATTGAGCGACGAGCAGGATCTCGGTGAGTGTTGCGAAAGGACTTGGGATTTCTGCATACGGAGAATAAATAATAAATGAAACTGGAAGAAGAATAAGCGCGTGCAAACTTTGAAGGCAGGTTTAAACGCAGAGAAGAAAGGAGGAACAACACTTAACTGCAAGAAGGCGTTGCATTTAAGCCAAGGTAGACTGTCCTATAGCGGCAATGGCGAGAGAAACTCGAAGACTAGCGATAAGCGTGGGAAGGTGCGTGAATATAAAGCACAGCATTCGCTGCCTCCTTGGCGAACAGTTGTGGTCAAGGAGCTAACCCCCGTTCACCATGAAAGCCATCGTAAGTGATCGTATTGTATTTTGGGTGCGCAGGCTGTAGATTGCGAACATGACAGTCGTGATTCGCAGATAGCTTAGTACTATGGTACGCACATAACCCGCTTCACTCAGACACGTGAGAAATGTTTATGTTGAGCATAGTTTGATGTATTGATATGGGGGGTTTAACGTCCCAAAATCACCGCATGATTATGAGAGACGCGGTAGTAGAGGGCTCCAGAAAATTCGACCACCTGAGGTTCTTTAACGTGCGCCCAAATCTGAACACACGGGCCTACAGCCTTTCTGCTTCCATCGGAAAGGCAGCCGCCGCAGCCGGGATATGAACCCGCGACCTTCGAGTCAGCAGCCGAGTTCCTTAGCCACTATACCACCACGGCGGGCCTGTCTAGCGTATTTCGACTAGTCTTAGTTCAGAGCGCAAACGCAAAATAAAGAGAACCTATGAATGCCGTTGACAATATGTAGATGTACAATGATTTTGTGGCAATACTGTTTCTTGTGACACCTTCATGAAAACCTCATAGGAATTGGAGTGTCTCTATTTTCATCATGAAACTATAATTCTTCGTTTTTTCCCGCAATATTTTGCTGGAGTGTTTGTATTATCTACATAAAACTAGCTTTCTTCATTTTTTCATTTGCAAAGTTGTTACCTTAGTTCATGAGCATATTACTGATAAATGTGACCTAAACTTGCCTGTGGTACACTTTCATTTACCCGACATTGAAAAAAACTTTGACTACATCAACGCCAATGTTATCCACCTTGCATACCACATTTCTTTTCGAGCCGTATCCTCTTGATAACAGCCACTAGCGCTTGACAGCTATGTCACTAATAAGTAGTGATTCTATATCTGACGGCGTTTTAAAGCCATTTTCCTTTTTAACTTTGTATGGTAAGTTATATTGAAAATACGTGACGACAAATGTTATGTGGCAACTACGTCTGCGTTCGCTGTCTAGAACGCCTATAGTTATGTGGCTTTCATTCGTATTACTCTGCAATACAGGTGGTTCCTCTCGTAACATTGCAAGAGATATTTCTAAATAAAGAATCATAACATTCATTGCGTGGCCTTTCTGAAAGTGACGAATTGAAGGGATGGATGTCTATTGATTAAAAAAGAACACAGACCATAGGCGCCTTTTTGCTGGACTTTTTTTAGCATATATTGGAAGTGTTGCCTCCAACATACTTCTGGCCACATTTGTACAAATGACCACAAAAAGAAAGTATGTTCGAGGCACATACAGGAGATGCTCCTAAGGAAAGAGTGATTAAGATAAAAAAAGGAAAGCCGTATTATACGGGAGGTATTTTTTATTGTTCCAACCATAATTTTTATTTAGGCACTGTGTTCACAGAGTATGATATATATGTGCAATAGATTGATAACAATAGTCGCCGTCAATTTTTGGAACATGATCAGATATGACCATTAAAATCATCAAGTAATAATAACTTTTAGACAAAGCACAGCACTACAATACCTGTGCTCTCCGAGTCCCCTGGCACGAAGGGTTATATTATAAATTAACATTCCAACTCAAGCAAACCTTTGTGTAATTTTCTGCATGTGGTTGAGATTACATATTCCGTTAATGCTACAGATGAAATCATATGTAGGCTACACAACTATACTGTCTTTTAGTTGTCTGAGGCAGGGTTGTAAAGCATGCAACTCAGGAAGGCCTCCATATATTTTTAAAGTAAGGAGAACTACTCAACCAGATTCCACACCTTCGTATTCTGTGGTCTTCACGATATGATCACGCCATCATGACAAGTGATGTATTCTCATTGTTTTATGATTTGATTATTTACTTAAAGAAAACTGTATCACGATTCACCTGCCATTCCTAAAGTGACATTAAAGCAGCATTTGTTAGCAGTTGGTGACAATGTCCAATAACAAACCACTCTGGGCGCAGCTTTGCCTTCTAGCTGCTGTGCTCTTCTCAGGAGCTGCGACTGCAGCCGCAGACACAAAAAAGAAAAACGACAAAAATGATGACAGCAAAGTAGAGGGAAGAGGACTGTTTCACACCATCCCCGGCACCGTACTCGTTCCTGGAGTCTGCCCACCGTGCCCTTGCGCTTATGGTGGAGCTGTCGGTGATATAGGAGGAGCCTATGGAGGTGGCTTCGGTGGAGCCAGTGGTGGTGCCGCAGGTGGCTACAGCGGAGGAGGTGCTGGTGGAGTACGTGGTGGTGGAGCCGGCTTTGGTGCAGGAGCCGCTGGTGGAGTAGGTGGTGGTGGAGCTGGCTTTGGCGGAGGAGCCGCGGGTGGAGTAGGCGGTGGTGGAGCCGGTTACGGTGGAGGAGCCGCTGGCGGAGTACGTGGTGGTGGAGCCGGCTTTGTTGGAGGAGCTGCTGGTGGAGTAGGCGGTGGCGGAGCCGGTTATGGCGGAGGAGCCGCTGGCGCGATAGGCGGAGGTGGTGCAGGCTACGGTGGAGCTGCTGGTGCAGCTGCCGGTGCAGTAGCTGGTGGTGGGGCTGCCGGTGGAGCTGTCAGTGGAGCCAGTGTTGGAGTAGGTGGTGGCGGCGTCGGCTATGGTGGAGCGGCTGGCGGAGTTGGCGGAGGCAGCTACGGCGGAGCTGCCGGTGGCGGAGCCGGCTATGCCAGCGGCGGCCGTGGTGTGGCTGGAGGCGTTGGCGCTGGTGGTGTCGGTGGAGCGGCAGCCCTCTCAGGATTCAAGGGAGGTGCTGGATTCAAGGGCAGCGCGGCAGGCCTGCAGGCTGGCCAGGGCAGCTTCGCCTACAATGTAGGAGGATCCGACAGGATGGAGTACGGTCACAGCAGCTCCTATGGTGACTCCAAGAGCTTCGGAATGAGCTCCAGCGAAGGCTTCAGCAGGGGTCAGGGACAAGGCAGCCACGCAGGTGGCTTTAAATCACATGCTGCAGGAGCTGGGGGAGTAGCCTCAAGTGCTGGGGCAAAGGTTGTTGGCTAAGAGGTCGTCCACTCGCGGTCAAGAAAGGTTGGTGTATTCTTTGGCCTTGCATCTGTATAAACGTAGTGCAGTCAAAGGTACCACTTCTTCCCGGTGGCAATATATAAAAAAAACTATGCTTTTAAGTTAAGCACTGACTCAAGAACCAGCTGTAGAGTTGAGAAGAGGTTAAAAACAGTGTTATTGTGGGTCTCTTTAACAATCATGCTCACGTAAGGTAAAATCGACTGACTCTGTGCAATTATTTCAGTACGGACGTGAAAGTATGCAGAGGTGGTTTAAAGAAGTGAACTTATTTTCCGTAACGCAACGTAATCTTTCTATGATTGCTTTAACTCATGCCATATATTCACGTAAGATTTCTTTAAATATGCCTTCGTACTCATTGAGTCCTGCAGTAAAACTCCATTGCGATGTGTGCACATAAACGATTTCACGTTTTTTGATAACCACCTAACATATGTTGTTTTTGGCTGTAGCATTTACTTATTCACGCAAGGTGATAGAGATGACGCGAAATAAAAAAGCATTCGGAGCAGTTACAACACGACGTATTCAAACAACACATTCAAACAGCGTATAAATATTATGGACACAGAGCTCATGTCTCTGTTCTTTACGACATTGAACCCAGTAGATGGGGTGTAGGATGAACTTGCCAGCGCTTGCTTCTTCTTTTCTTTTCTTTTCTGCTGCACTTTCGCAAACTTCTGTAGAAGCACAATAATGCGTTTTCTGCACATGTTTTCTGTTTTTGCTCGTCAAACTTCCACGAAAATTATTGTCCACATCTCATGACTGAGTTTCGGCCTAAAAGTCCTGTCGTACCAGGAATACAAATGTAGGGCAAAAATGTAGCGGTACAAATAAAATACACTCGTTCAGATTTGCACAATACTATGGCACAGTTTATGCACACAGAGCTTAATACCAAGCTAGTTACGTCGATCTCCGCTAAAGTTGTTCTGGAAAGGAAAATTTTTCACCTTTCCAAGGCGCACATCATGAGCCCAAAACGTCTTTATACTTAAGCGATGATGACTCGCCAAGTAATGGATAAGAAAAAGATAGCTCTAACCTTAAGGAACAAGAAAAGAGCACTACGGTGGAGGAGATAAACGGATCCAATACACATTTTAGTAGAAATCAAAATAAATGGGCATGGGCTGGATACGATATGATCTAATTCGTTAACTTACCAATCCCAGAAGCTCTTTTGGCGTATTTTTATGTGAAAACTCATAAGGCAGTCGCATGCACCCCTACGTGAACGACCACGTAGGCCTACTTCAGCGTTGGTCTAATCTCTGAAGGTCTACATCAGCGAAAACAAAAAGACTTCACCAGGTGTTGTCACGCGACAAGCGACTAATAAGGATCTTACGTTCATATTTAAAATTATCACTTGTAAAACTCTCCGAGCACTTCAATAAAAGCAGATCGGATCGTATATACTCGTGGATTGAGGGGCGTGTTACAAAACTTCAGATGGGGAAAATATCAGGGTACAGTTCTTCATTCCGTTGCTCTTCATTCTCATGCGGTTCTGGCATGACCCCAGAGATAACTGCACTACAGCGTAGGATGTTCTTAAACTTGCGGCAATGTAAGCAACTAGGGCTATAGAAAAACCATTTTTTTCATTTCAGGTTTCTTTAGGAACTATGAAATTGCTAAAATTAACTTAAATAGGAAGATTTAGAAACGTGGTAGAATGAAAGATGAAGTAATGTAGTAGCAACTCAAGTGTTAAGCTTTCAAAACTAGATGTGCTGTACTTCCGTTCAACACACTGTGTACACGTCATTTTGGTGTACTTTCATAGAGGAAAAGAAAATTTGGTAAGATTTTAAACAGGAACAAACTTTATCAAAAACTTCATCAGAGTACTTATTGACCAATATCAGCAACGATAAAAGTGCAAGTCAGGTGAAGTAATAAATATTTATATTGAATCAGTTCTTTACGTTGTGCTTTTTGTTCAAAAACTAATTATTTACTGGCTTTTTTGTCTCTCAGGATTGACCGTCCACAGTTCCCCAAGGCTTGTGTTCACCAGAGCCGCCTCGCGTTTGCCCACACGGGAGCTTTCTCTAGCGCTGTGCAAGGCATATTCACTTTCTACAAAGTACAAAGACGTTCACTACCACCTAAATGTAACAACTCACGCAATAAGTGGTTTAAAATAAATAAAACTATACAAATGAGCTTTTTATTACTATGATTACTCTCATGACAATCAGATATCAGAAGCTTCAAAAACATGCTTTCAGGTAGAACTACTTAAAAGCAAGAGATAGTGAAACCAAGCAAAGCTCAGAGGATGTTCCTACTGTATTTAATTATTGTTTAGTAATTATGAAATAAATGACGATAAAAATTAACGAAAGAACGAGTCATTGCTGGTTCGGACCAAAAATATGAAGCGTTTTTGTATAAAACACATATAACAAATTAAGGCATGACTCAATTCTAATGAACCATGTTGTTGATGGGACAAAAAAGATTTCTACCATAAATTACTAGAGTCTATCTGACACTTTTATATGGCCAACAAAATTTTAAACAGCACAATACCCCCTCTTTGCAGAGGTAGTGTTGGCCACGGTGCCAGTATGTTTTTCAGGGTTAAACGTCATTGGTCGAACAGCTTTTAATAGCGCAATGGAGACAGTACGACATTATCCAATGATAACAGCTGGCACTAATCATTTCCTCGCGCCATTAATATTTTGCTTCAATCCTATTTATCTACGCTAGCGCTACTACATCTTTTAAAACACCCAAGTGTAGAGTAGCCATTCATTGATCTGATAAATTTATGTGTGGGGTTTAACGTCCCAAAACCACCATATGATTATGAGAGACGCCGTAGTGGAGGGCTCCGAAAAATTTGACACACCTAGGGTTCTTTACCGTGCACCCAGATCTAAGTTCACAGGCCTACAGCATTTTCACCTTCGCCGAAAATGCAGACGCAGCAGCTGGGATTCAATCCCTAGACCTGCGGGTCAGCAGTCAAGTACCTTAGCCAGTAGACCACGACGGCGGGGCAGCATAGAGTAGGCAAACAGCAAGGTCATTTGTTAGTGCCTTGCACTCTAAATTCGTGTTTGGTTTTCTTCTTCTCAATGGCTGGTGAAATGGTAGGCTTCACAATACAGAAAGTGGTGGCGTGACTTTCACGTCGTCAACGTTTTATTCTAGCCCAGTTATTTATCGTCGCTAGAACCGCTTTTGTTGTATGGAAAGGTGTGCCAACAAACTAGTTATATACACACACCCTTACTGAATGCTCATCTGTCATCAACACAGTTTCATGGTAACTCGAAATTCGCGCGTGATCTGCACTGGCAAACCTTTCAGTTATTTTCATTTGTGCGTGGTCATTTTTCTTGTTCTCATATTATCTTGAGGTTATCTGTATTTGATCTTTTATAGCGGGTATTTCAAAACATGGGTCCTAAATCCCCGAAAATAAAAAAAAAATTGCAATATTCGCTCACTGTCTTCACAGTTACTTTTCCTGCGGCAGCAGATCCCTTGAAATTGTTAAACATGTCAGTTGGGACACTAATTAAAAAGATTATTCATTACGTTCCCATTAGTTCACTTAGGCTGTATAATGAATGAGAGAATTGAGGTCCTCCATACAGGATACCCAGCACAGATATGAAATTCTAAAAAGCAGTCTTTAGTAACAAGTTTAGCTTAATAAAATTCAACTAAGTTGAGTGATGACGCCTCGACTGAACAACCAATAACCACAACAATAAGACGAGGTAAACCAATGCAGTAAGCAGCTGTGAATGGCAAAGATTAGAGAATAGTTCTATAATTACAAGCACAGCCAACATGCGCTCACAATAAAGTAGGTTGACGTGATGGTTGTTATAAGGACATTCACTCATTTTGGAGGTTTCAGATGAATATGGCATTTGCTCTACCCACATTTCAATATCTGTTTTGCCCCTCAATTTGGTTGAATCACCACCTCGCAATATTACTAGAGGCCACTTTTTTTTAATCGAACTAATACAATTGATTTTTTGCATCAAGGACTTCAGTACTCACATTTCACGTATACCACTTAGCTCCACCAAATAAATGTTTATTGTGTTCCTTATTTATTTTTAGGAATATGTCTGTAGCTATTTTAGGGTACATGTGACAACAGCAGAAGTAATTGGGGAGGCATATAACGAGTATCACAATTACCAATTTTTTGAGAAATTTCTACCCATTTCGTGAAACACCCGGTATTCCAACCTTATTGCATTCCTTTTGAACACTCTCGCTATTGAGACTATGCAGTCAATGGTCGCTTTTATATTGCTGATAGAGACTAAAAAAGCCTATAAGCCAGCCAGGGAGAGAAGTTAAAGCATGCGAGAAATTGTTCCTTAACCAGGCACGCCGCCCACCGACGTCAAGTGATAAATAAATAAAGAGAAAGCAAACTGTTGGTGCAGGTAAAATCACGAGCTGAAATTACATGCAGACCTGTCGTTGAGAAGAATTTCGGGACACCTAAATGAGCTTCGTGTTCACTTTATGCTTCCCTGAAAAACGAAGACGGGGAGCGTAGATTTCTGAAAGTAAACCTTCTGGAACTTGCCTCAGCACCAGCTCAGCTGAAAAAGTCACCGGCCATTTTCATCATTAGAGAGTTTTAGTCTCGGGGACCCCAAGCTGCTTGTTGCTTTGTACTTCTAGCTGCACCTGTAGAAAATACAAAAGAATGCGAGAGCTTTCGTACGCAGGCAGCTTGGGGTATCCAGCGTATATTCTCCATATTAAAGTGTATAACTACCATTACGACTTCAATAACGCATTGACCTGATTGATTGATATGTGAGGCTTAACATCCAAAAAACACCATATGCTTATGAGAGACGCCGTGTTGGAGGGCTGCGGAAACATAAATCACCACCTGGCGTTGTTTCACGTGCACTCAAATTTAAGAACACGGGCCTACAACATTTCTATATCCGTCGTAAATACAGCCGCCACAGCCTGGATTCGATCCTACGACCTGCGGGTCAGCAGCACAGCACCTTAGCCACTAGACCCCCGTGGCGGGGCATTGAAATGCTCAACTTAGGCGCTAGATACGATGTTGACTCTCTGATACGGTCACTCACTGTAATCGTTTGCATGAACATTAAAGATCAACATCACTATTCAGGTGTTATACAAACACCTGAATAGTGAATAGAACAAAATGTGACAAAGCGAGGCAAATTTTAAAAATTAAGAAGAAAAAGCTACGACAACCTCCTTCAAGCAATCTCACATCATTCCTTCAGTGGAAATTTATGTAAGCATTGTACTAATGGGATAATTAGGGTATTCATTGAGAAGGTCATACCAATGATGACTCGCCAAGTAATGGATAGGAACAAAATAGCTGTAACCTTAAGGAACAAGAAGAGAGCACTGTGGGTGAGAGGATAAATGGGTCCAAAAAACATCTTCGTAGAAAACAAAAGATATGGGCATGGGCTGGATATGTAGCTCGTATGCAGGTTATCCGCTCGTCATAAAAAGGAGCTCACTAGGTTACAAGAGAAAGAGAACATGCCAGGTGGAGGCAGAAAGTTAAGTGTGGTGAGTATATTAAAAAGTTTGCGTGTATAACACAGAAGTAGCAAGCATATGATCGGTTTGGTTGGAGGAGCACGGTACAGGCCTTTGAACTGCAGTGGGCGCAGCCAGATTGGTGGTATTGCTGTTGTACTATAGGTACCATAACGTGAACTGCTCTTGCGTTGTGAACTACAAGATCAAAAATCAGACACGTAGCAGATGATTCCTTCATTGCATTCAAGTGCATCATAATGTACAGTAAAGGTTGGCAGGGTGCTTGAACATAAACTAAAATGCTTTCACGTGACAAATATGGAAAGAATATATATTTCCAGACTTTAGTAATACCGTTAACTCGCAGTTTACTATAGTGCACGAAATAACTCAGTGAGTAACGAATATAAAGAAATTCCGGCGAAATATTAACAGGCACCTATTGGCGCTACGCGAAGTCATCAACACACCTCGGTTTCGATACTTCTACCTAGTCTACACGGGGATGACAGAAGTTCTCTGGAGCACCTTTTTTAGGAATATTAGAAAGTGTAATATTTTTTGCAAAATCAGCCTTATATGCATGGTTTACTTTGACTATATATAGTGGTATAAGAAATTTGCTAAAGTACTCTTTTATTTTGAAAACTGTATGTTATACGCAATTGGGACAGCATTCACATTAGCTTTTCTAGCTGGTCATGCGATCCACTAGTGTAGCTACTGCGCAGCGATAAGGTGTTGGGAAATGAGGAGGCTGACAAATGGGCTAGTGTAACACAGCATAGGTACCTTGACACTCGCGACGTTTACACAATTCAACTCATAAAATATTCTTTTTGCCATATGACGCAATTTTTTCAAGGCAAACGTGGTACGGAGACTATAAATCTCGGCATTCCTTTAATGAGCTTGTCCGTTTTTATGAGCTTCACTGATTCAAATATTAGCCGCAAGTTTAACACACTTCTTTGTCTATAATGAGACATAACAAACACGTCCTAATACTTTTGCAGCATCAGACAATATCAGCACATTGCAATTACTGCTACAGATAGTTCGATTTTATATGAATGAGTGTAGACTCGGACGTGTCACTGCTTGAAAACCCATTAAACACGTCTTCTCGCTGCAAGGAATGTGTTCAAAAAAAGGGAGAGATAGATAGCAGAGGGAAAAGAAGGGAGGTTACGTCGAGTGAATCTGGTTTGCTACCCTATATTAGAGTGAAATGTAGCCCCGCCGCGGTGTTCTAGTGGCTAAGGTAATCGGCTGCTGACCCGCAGGTCACGAGATTGAATCCCGGCTGCTGCGGCTGCATTTCCGATGGGGGCGGAAATGATGTAGGCCCGTGTGCTCAGATTTGGGTGCACGTTAAAGAACCCCAGGTGGTCGAAACTTCGGAGCCCTCTACTACGGCGTCTCTAATAATCATATGGTGGCTTTCGGACGTTACACCCCACATATCAATCAATTATAGTGAAATGAATCAAAAAGATAGATAACAAAAATTGAAAATACGCGCAATAAAAAAGCAAAAAGTGAGAGACAGAACAATGATAGTGTAATAAGCATCGTCTCAACAATCCCTCACAGAAGCCTCTTCTCTCAAGAAAAGAAAGAAAGTATAGGTAATGCA